AGTAGTTGTCTGTTTCCTTGTAGGAGACACTAGAGAGGTCAAACCCGCCCAAGGATGACTAAGGTTAGATTGCCGTCATGAATCTAGGGTCCTCCCATCTTGCCACATGTATACCCCTAGACCTTCCCAATCCTATGGGCACACCCCTAGCTCATCCCCTTCCTGTTATCATAGATCCCCTTCCCACAATGTGTATGCCTATTGTACTGTCCCTTCCTATGACACGTGATTCTGTAATCATGTCCCCCTAAAGTGATATAACTCTTGGTTAGCAATAAAGAAAAAGCTCTCCCCAGTCCTTAGGGCCGGGAGCTCTCTCTGGGTCCCGGGGGCCCAGGAGCTCTCCCTGGTCCTCAGTCCCCAAGGCTCTCTCCTGCTCTCATGGCCGGGTTCCCCCCACACAGACCACCAAGTGGGGCTGAGGTGAGCATGCTACCATGAATTGTGTTTGACTCCATTTATTCCAATCTCTCCTCTATCATGCTTTCTATGCCTTTACTATAATCTCTACTTATTATTGCTATACAATTGTGCCTACCGGACCTGTGATGATTTGTGGGGAACCCCTCTCCCTTCTCCCCACACCGGGGCTCCCTCTTCCCCCTGCCTCTCATCTCTCGTAACCACGAATAGACTTGGGTTTCCATAATTTGTACACTCTCCATGTTTCCTCTATGTGAGAGCATTTCTTTGGGGAGATATTGACCCTCAGAAGACCACCCAGCCAGCACCTGTTTCCAGGACAGTGCCCCTTGTTGGATTATTAATTCTGCCTGTGGTGTAATGGACTTGGCCTAAGAGCATTTCTGTCATAGCTGTCCTTCTTTGGCGTTACATTAATTGGAAGAGTCAAATTCATGGCATTAGCCTATGTCTATGCACATAGAAGCGTGCTAGCCAACGAGGTTAACCATTTAGCCATTCAAACCGCAGTCCGCTACAGCTGTACCCTAGGCATGTGCCTGTAACTAAGAGGCAAGTAGCATGTGCCACCTTCTCAATGCAGATAGCTGAAGCCAGAGCAGATGTTCTTCCCAAGCTCGAGTTAGGGTGCAGCAGTTTCCATAGTAACAGTAAGGCAAAATTCAAGAGAGAGAAAGAGCCATCCCCAACCCCCTACCCTAACATCACGGTTATTTTCATTCTAGGCCTTGTGCATGGGCACTGGTATTCTCTGCAATGCTGTACTCAGGTTTCAGTCCCTTAACTTAAGTTCTTCCTAGATCCCACGGTGAGAGACTAGATTCCACGTGGCCCAAGACTGGTTCCTAACTCGTCGCTTACGTAGCCAGTTTCCTGCCTCGCTTTAGCACACTTAACAGATTCACTGGGTGGCTTTCTATCTTGTAGCTCAGGATATTTAGATACCTTCATTATTCGGTTTCTTCTGGCGACCAGTCCAAAGCAGAGCGTCAGAAAGATGACGACAGAAGCAGCAATGATGGGTTCGATCGGAATCGTCTGCGCTTTATCTGTTGGAAATGCAAACACCGAGAATGAGAGCTAGCACATATAGTTCTAATGGATGTGCTCCCTGAATGTCCCAAAGGAGCCCTGGTGGCATAGCGGTTATGAGTTGGGCTGCGATCCACAAGATCAGCAGTTCAAAACCACCAGCCAGCTCTGAGGGAGAAAGGCAGGGCTTTCTACTTCTGTAAAGAGTTACAGTCTCAAACTCACAGGAGCAGTTCCACCCTGTCTTCTAGGGTCACTCTGAACTGGCATCAACCCCACAAAGTGAGTTGGGTTTGGGTTTGTATGTGCCAACCAAGTGCCTTGCACTTTAAATTGACCTTCTCCCTAATTAAATTCTCTGATCAACTCCCAAAGGTAGGCATTATCATCCCCATGTTACAGGTGAGGCTTTAGAGGTTCCTTGCCCAACGTTACAGAATTGTGAGTGGCAGTGGCACGTTTTGAATTCATCTGTGGCAAGCTATTTTCTTAAAATATGAATAGTTCTTTCTAGTACACAGTCAGGCCATTCTGTGCTTTCTTTAGCCATAATTTTTGTCATACAGAAATCGGAAGGGCTGATGTATGTTCCTTTTTGACTTTTGCAAAGCCCCCGAGACACAGGGGGGTATCCCAGTAGGGGGACTAAAGGGAGGAGACCTTTGGAGGCAAGAAGAAAAGGGGTGGAGAACCCACTGACCCAAAAAGTAGAGAGTCCTGTGGGTGCCACAAGCAGTGGGAAGCTTTGCACCTGTACCCAAGCAGGTGACATGACACGTCATAGGAGGTGGCTGCATGGTACCTTGGGAAGCAGGACACCAAGCAGCATTCTCCCCAACATCATGAGCAAAGCTCTCCATGCCTCCCTGAATGACAGGGGGACCAGAGAGTACTACTGGTAACAGTACTACTGGTACTATTGCTGGAAGGGACCAGCAATAGCCGGGCCTGTCTGGAAATGAAAACCTATTCCATCTTCAGGACACCAAGTAAGCTCAAAACTCTCTTAGCCTTCAGGCATGGTGGGCACAATGCCCATGCTTACAAACTTGCCAAAGGCCTCTGAAAATGCCTGAGATCCAGAAACCATTTCTATTGGCTCCAGAATGTGAAAAGAAAGTGACCAGATCAAACGGGATAAACGTTGAATTAAATAAACATCTCTCCTCAACCTTGAAGGGGGTCTGGTCGCTTGGTGGGTTACTCGTCAAGTAACTCTGCTAGCCTCAAGGTCAGCAGTTCCAAACACCAGCCACTCTCAGCACAAGGATGAGGCTTTGTCCTGTCGTACAGAGTTCCAGTCTCAGAGACCCACAGCGGCAGCTCTAGCCTGCATTATGGGGGTCACTGTGAGCTGGAATTGACTCGAGGGCTATGACTTTGGGGTTTTTTTGTTTGTTTGTTTGTTTTTAGCCAACTTTGCATGGACTAGAACTCAACTGATAAAAATTAATGCTGTATCTCAAGAATTAACCTAATAACTGACCACAAAATCCAAGATGTATAAACTTCATATACATTCTTTCAAAAGGTTTACAGCATCGATAGATGGATTTGTTATAAGAGCTGTAAGGGCCCCCAATACAATGCCTTATTAAAATAAAATATGTGCATGGGTTCGGATTTGTGGCAGGTCTGATCCCATGGGCCTCTCACAGTGTCCCATGTGAAAACAAACCGTCACCCGAACCATTGCCTGGCTTTACTCCGTGGGATTCAGGCACTGAAGTGGGTTGCACAGTGAAAATAAATAAATAATAAAATTAAGTAAATAAAATCAACGTTCCTGAGAAATGAAAAAAAATGTTTACAGCAAAAAGGACACTTCCCCAAACTCACTGCCGTCAAGTCCAATCCAACTCACAGAGCTCCTCTGGGGCAGGTCGAACTGGCTTTCCCCAAACCGTCACTGTCACCAGAGCGGTAAGCCTGTCTGCCTCCCTCGGAGTGGCCAGTGGTTTCAAACTGCTGACTTTGGAGGTGGCAGCCCGACACGTGGCCACTACACCACCACATTTACCACTTTATAGCTCAGTTAGGGATTTACTTGGGTGGTGAGTAGGAAGCAAACAATCCGATTTCTAACTTGTGTGGTGATTGAGGTAAACCTTCTCCCATTGTAGTTTTAATAAAGCTGGGGTTTGACTTCAGAAGCACATAGTGTGCTTCATTACTTAGGTTTGCTTTGGTATACTGTGACTTGTCAAAGGGAAGGGCACATAAGGTCAAGGACACTGGATGCTTCTCAGTTGCTGGATTCTGGTGCCTCCTGGGGAAGACAAGGGGCTTCAGACAGGACTTGGGTGAAGTTTTCTACACTCATTGGGCCTGAGGTCCTGGAATCAGAATGTTGTTAATTTAAAGGAAAATAATAGTGTGCTATTGATCGAGCAATTGAGGTTGTGGATTGAGGTGGTGTCAACAGATATTTATTGAGAGACTACTGTGTGTCAGGCATTGCTTTTCTTCCATGAATTCTTTAACACCTTCTTCTGGTAAGCCCTGAATAGGACAGACATGGATCATGTCTTCATGAAGCGCATAGGCTAGTCTAGGGCACAGTAAGCAACACAAACAACAGGTTGAGATATGTGTTAGAAAGGAAACAGGTCATGCGATAGATCCCAGAACCCACTGCCGCCGAGTTAATCCCGATAGATCCCAGAACCCACTGCCGCCGAGTTAATCCCGACTCACAGTAACCCTGTAAGACAGAGTAGAGTCGTCCCCATCGGCTTCCCCAGGTTATAAATCTCAACAGCGCAGACTGCCACCTCTTTCTCCCATGGGCAGCTGATGGGCTTGAACTGCAGACCTTATAATTAGCCGTCAAGTGCTGGACCACTGCAGCCCCAGGACACCTCCCGTGAGAGAGGTATCAAGGAGAAAAGATAAAGAGGGGAAAAGATAGCTGGCCTTAGAGAAATCTCATTTCAAAGCCCACCCCCGTATCAACTCCAAGATTATGAAAAAGGACTTATCCCCACCAGAATTGCATGACACACTAAATCATGATTTGGTTCCCATGACATGCTCCCCTTTTATCGTCTATCTCCGAGAGTCTAGGACCTCGACAGAATAATTTTGAGAGGGTCGAGAGGATTAAGCATCTTTTGTTCTTGCCCCTTTTGGGTAAGTCCTAAACAATTATTCTCAGGGGGTCATCATTTGCATCGAGCCTCTGAGAAGCTCTGAGTGATATACCCGGGAAGCCTCTTGACCAGGAGCACTCCGCAATGAAGGTACGTCACCTGACGAAGGCTTCTGGCGGAAATGTAGGCATGATCCCCTATTTCGTTAACCTGATTATTTTCCAGCAGCTATCTCCCTTTCATCAGTTCTCAAAACATTTGCCTGTGGGTATCAGAGGTGGACTATGAAGATCAAGGTATATGCCCACTTGATCAAGATGTCCTATAAAGGTTTTATTCTTTTCTGAATAGTCCAGAACTTATAAGTAGCCAACACCTCCTCCTACAAGTTTCCTCAACATTTTATTTCTAGTTACCAAGAATACTTTTGTGAAAACCCAAGGTGCTAGCCTCCCATCTGTCCATTACGTTTGTGCATTTTGCCTTTATAACCCCCTGCAGATGCAGAAAGGAGCCCTGGTGGCACAGTGGGCTGGGCACAGGCCTGCTAACCACAGGTTGATGGTTCAAACCTACCAGCTGCTCCGCAGAAGGTGGTGATGCTTGCTCCCCTTAAGTTTAACAGTCTGGGAAACCCCAGGGAACAGCTCCATTCTGTCTTAATAGTGTCACTATAAGTTAGAATCAATTAGGTGGCTGTGAGGGGTGTGTGTGTGTGTGTGTGCGTGCGTGCGTGCGTGTCTGCTAACTGAAAGGACAAGATCAACAGCTACTCTGTGGGAGAAAGATGTCGCAGTCAGCTCTGTAAAAGATGTACAGCGGTGGATGCCCCATGGGTCACTTCCCCCACTGACCTGTCAGGTTGCTTTGAGTCAGAATTGACTGGATGGCATTGAGTGTGTTTTTAGGGTTTTTTTGTTTGGGGGGGGGGCGTTTAGCTCATAGGACCATCCAAGGTACAACTTTGACTTGGTGTATTTCCCTAGTTTAAACCATACTCTTTTTCCCACCAGAAATTTTTCTTCTGTTTGAGATTTTCAACCAGGTGTTTTTCTTCCATGAATTCTTGAACACCTTCTTCTGGGAAAGAACACCCCAAAGAAGCTTCACTTTACTGGGGACACCATTCACTTGCATGTCAAAACAAAGCGGACTGTGGCAGTTACATCATCTGGTGTCAATTTGAGGATTAAGAGTGAAGTGTGGTTCATGGCTTTGCGGGGGACAGTACTGGAGACAAGTGTGGGAATTGCGCCCGATCTGATCCCGCCACACCAAGGCAAAGCACTGTGAGAGTGCAGTGGAACAGCAAGGGAATGGAGTGGCAAGGTCCCCAGGGAATGCTAAAGGTGGACTTTGGGACCAGGGCATGGTGCCCCAACAAACTGGACTGGAAAACACTCCTAAAGGCCAACAAACGATCCTTGAACGAACTACAAGCTTTTCTTTCTTGTTGTGTTTTGTTTTGTTCTTTGTCAG